TTTTGTCTTGATACAAATAGATTTGACATATCTGCAATATCGTTCCTTTCCTATCTACCCTTTGATAAAAGAAAAGAAAAAAAAAGACAAATAGTTTGGATGCTGTATTTCTATACGGGGTGCTGCATTAGCGAAGCCACATGATCTACAGCAGGATTGTGCAGAATAATATATTGTTCTAACACCTTCCAGAAGCCTCCACTGTCAAAACCAATAAAACATCCAAAATGCTGCATGGAATCAGAGGCGATGCATTATGTAGCAGCCCAGGAGACCCATGTGAGCAGCATTTTTTTCCTTCGCTTCTTTTCTGTTCATCTTCTCGCTGCATTGTTGAAACATATCAGGATGTCCTGCTCTGTTCCTCATTGCACGCGGTGCAGAAGGGGCCTGTGCAAATGTCCTGCTGGGCTGCCAGGCTTCTTTTATTCGTCCTACCTTGATGGGGAATTTGTTATGGAAATATATAGTGTGTTAGAGGTAGCAGCAGGGAACCAGGGTGTAAAATAATGAATCGTGCTGGGAAGCCACTGCTCTGGCCCATTTTATCTATGAATTTGTAATTGCATATCCAACAGCATCTACGGCACTAGATTTGGCATATTTATGCTGTAGCTTGGGTATACAGTTGCCCTCTTGCGCATGCATCTTTTGATTGCTTTCTCACAAACTAGAGATATTCAGGGATTTATTTCATATGGACTCCTCTATTGTTTTGTTTTGCATGCTTAAATCCACCATGTTTAAAGGCTAAAGTAAACTTCAGGCTTCTAGCAGTCAAACAAACAGAATAGCCTTATTTTCCTTATTAGACTAAAGTTTCTAAAACAACTGTGTTGTTAGTGTAGAATTTAACCACCAAATTTCTTGCAATTTGAGAATATACATTTAACTCCTTAGATCTTTCTAAACAAAAAACATCAAACCTCCTTTGATATTATGTTGGTTAAATGAGGTTTTATACTTGGTCACAATAGTTGGAAAGCATAGTCAGAATTGCACTTCTGGGAGAAATTGTAATACTACCAGTAACAATTGTAACTCTTAACAAATGGCCAACTTCTATGTGCAAGCCGAAAGTATGTAAATTGATCTAGTCGTGTGGCATTGAAGCATTTTAATCAAAAAAAATTTTTTTTTTTGCAGAAAAAAGACAGTTACAATTGAATTATAATAATTATCATTTTAAAGATTTTGTAAGCACTTTGTGTATACTGTACATTGCACACTGTAAAAAGTAATTAGTTATTTAAAGCGAGTAAACCACTTGTCTTAAAAGAAACAAGATGAATTTACAAACATAATGTAAGTAAATCCATTGTAATTTGGAACTGTTTATCTGACTTAATTTTTATTCTTCTGCAAATTGAATCAAATAAAAAAGATAAAACTATAAAAATAAATAAAAATAAAAATAAACAACTTTTTCCAATACACATTTATATTATTTGTTTTTTTTCCAGCTTTTTGTAAATAGCAAAATGACAGTGACTAAAATTAATCTGCTCTTCCAGACTCCATTGTTTTCTCCATTGCAGATTTTACAGATTTAATGAAGCACCAGATATGTAATATCGTTGCTAAACATGCTAAAATATTCTGACACTGTAAAAAATAATGACTTTAATAAAAAAATGTATTTTTAAAAAAGTTTACTTTTTATTTTTAGTAGTACAATTATAAAAAATAAGCCAGCTTAACAGTTCCAAGCTGCAATAGGTTTACTTACATTATTTTTGTTAAATTATCTTGTTGCTTTTAAGGCAATTAGTTTACTCGCTTTACTTAACAGAATGATTTGGCAAAACTTCAACCACTGAGGCTTAATAAACTCAAAATTTCTTTGCTTTATAATTTTAAGTTAACTCAACTTTTTATTATTTGAAGAAATTAAGAAATCAAAATTCAAAGTCTCCTCAACAATTTTTTTTAAATACTATTAAACTAATAATTTCGACAGATAAATAATTTTTATGAGTAACTTCAACTCTGAGCTTAAAAAATGTCAACCTAACTTACAATTTGTAACCGGCTTAACAATTTGTAAGTTAGATTTTTTTTTACAGTGTGACCACAGTGTACCCATCTTCTGATGGCTACTTCCAGCAGAATAACACGCCAAGTCATAATGCGCAAATCTCAGACTGGTTTCTTGAACATGAGAATGAGTTTACTGTACTCATATGGCCTTCCAACAGTCACCAGATTCAATCCAATAGAGCACTTTAGGGATGTGAATGGGAGATTCACATTATGGATGTGCAGCCAACAAATCTGCAGCAACTGCGTGATGCCATCATGTCAATATGGACCAAAATCTCTGAGGAATATTTCCAGTACCTTGTTGAATCTATGCCACGAAGGATTAAGGCAGTTCTGAAGGCAAATGGGGGTTCAATCCGGTACTAGTAAGGAGTACCTAATTAATTGGCCAGTGAGCGTAGTCCATTCACTCTATATTTTTAAAGTAATGGGTTCAACTCACTTTTTAAAGTAAAGTTAATTTATCAGTATGAAAGCAACATGTTTATTCTATATAATTAAAGGTAAATAACTTGTATAGATCATGGATTACACTGTAGTATTACACTGTTGTCAGAAAAAACAGGCAACATTTGCATACCAGTAATGTAAGCGAAGTATAATTTTGGGGTTTATAATCTCTGATTTTATATCTTAAAATCTCTAAGTGAACGTTAAAATAAAATCCCATAGCTTTCTATATCCATCTACATCATGGGAAATCAGTGTTCTCTTACTGAGAAGTGTGTAGTGGCATACATTATTTACTTTTTGTAATAATCCACAATAACAGCAAGATATCAGCAAAGCAATTACTGCAAACCTTGTGCATCAGGCTTCATCTGTGGAGTTTTACTCTAGAGGTCAGTCCTCTTCTGCTCAATGTATTGATGAGGTAAATGTGTATTGATTATCCTCTTTGTACTGTAAAGATAAGAGCAATCAATGCTGTAACATCAGCTTAATTAATCAGGCATCAGATTTAAGAGAGAAATGTTCATTTAAAATCAACTTACAATAGTGTCCCACTGGAGTCACATCGAAAATTAGATTTGTCAGGCTTTGTGTCACCACAGTCTAGCTATTGGTGGAGTGGAGAGACAGTGACACAGCCAATTCTATAGATGGGGATGATCGGTAGGCTATGATGGGTAAGGAATTTAACCAGGACATGGGAGTTACACCCCTACTCTTTTCGAGAAGTGCCATAGGATTTTTAATGACCACAGAGAGTCAGCACATCGGTTTAAAGTCTCATCCGAAAGATGGTGCTCACTGACAGTACAGTGTCCCCTTCACTATACTGGGGCATTAGGACTGACAGACCCCAGCAAAACCTTATTTTCCCATGTGGTCTCCCATCCAGGTATTGACCAGGCTCTTGAGCTGCAGGGTGATATGGCTGTGGCTAAGTTACATTTTAGACAAAGTAATTAAAAAATAATTAAAATACAATTTTAATGATGCAATTGTTTTTTTTGAGTGACTTACCAATGACACTGAATTAAAGATTTAAAAGAGGCAACATTTTTACTACAGTTAGCAGCTGTAAATATTATAAGGTACACCATTTCAATGCCAAACAAAGTAACAGCAGCTGTTTCCATCCAAAACCGACAATTTAAGGCAACATTTGGACATTGTATTAAAAAATAGTAATAATAAAGTAAAAGGAACAACACCTACTAATATTGATAATATTTTTACATGTAATGAATTACACCTCAGAACATGCAGACAAGACCAAAATAAATAATTAAATAAATCTGTTAATTAATAGTTTTGTTTTTGTATTGTGTGATTCACAAGAGTTTTTTGTTTATTTACGGTTGTCAATTGTCGAAAATTCAATTCTATGGTTTAAAAAAGTAAATTTTATTGATATTTTAGTAGTTTGAAATAATACATAAGAAATCATATATAGGGAATTAAGTCAGTAAGATAACTGAAAAAGTTCTGCCAGTTCATTACTAAGTTTTGTACTGCTATTAACAACACCAACACAGACAATATGTCACTTCAAACTATTAAAATATTAACAGAGGTCACTTTTTCAAATTGTTCAAGATTAAAAGTTGTTGGAAGAAATATCAAGGCCCCATAATGCTATTCAAAAGCATAAATAAATGGGAAAAATAAAAACATGAATAAAAAAAATACGGAAAACAGATAATTTACAGATGTGTTATTTTACAGTGCAGTAAATATAAAGATATGATCTTGTCATATGACGTTTATTTATTAAGGCTATATAGCATTTTCATGATGTTTAAAAGGGTATATGCGGAAGTATGCTGAAGTACTTTTAATTTGTCGGTTAACTAGGTCAAGCGGTTCCGGTAAACTGTATTCAGTTACAAAACCGGCACGTTTGAAGTCTGTTTTCTTTAAAAATCAGCAATCTCCACTGCCTGACTGATATTCGATATAAAGTGGGTCTCAGAATGTATATGAAGCACTGCTATGAATAATTTTTTTTTTAACAATTTATTTTGCCTCAGTATATTCAATGGAGCTTCTTCGCTAGCCCACTAATTCTGACAAGTGTGTGCATGTAAATGGCTTTTCATTTAGTTTTACGCTTGAGCAACTAAATGAATGCCAAAGTCTATTTAACTGATTATATTTTAATTACATTACAACATTGATGCTAGCGGTTCATTCCGCTGTGGCGACCCCAGATTAATAAAGGGACTAAGCCGACAAGAAAATGAATGAATGAATGAATGAATGAATGAATGAATGAATGAACATTGATGCTGTAAAAGGAACCATATGAAATGGAAAAAAGTCACATTAACCGTTCACTGGAAGTTTATCAGTATGGGAAGAAACACTAGCTCCACATGTACCTTATTGGTGTTGAGTGTAGTTGTCACTTCTTCACTGTACAACTACATGTAATGCTGTAAGCTATCAAACAAAACAATATTGATAGATTAATTATAGCACACAACCATAAAACTCACAGACTTCAATTCCCAGGGAAACAACTTTATACCTTTATTCATAGTTGTTTTATAGCAAAGCAAACATCAAAGGATGAAGGCAGAAATTCATCTGATATACAGTATGGCACCACTTAAAGGAGGAAATCAACTTCTTGAATACACTGTTTAATCATCAACAACCTAAAAAATCATATGCAAGAAAAACTAACCAACCAAATTAGAACCCAAAGGAAAAGACGTAAAACATATAGATTTTTTTTGTCATTGTTATCGTTGTTTAAAGAAAGAAATGCATCAATCATCATCTTAAGTAGCATTAATTCATTCAAAGCCACACGCTTACAATTGGCCTTTTAAATTTTCCATCACCGTTTTAATTATTTACTACGTATCTCATGAAATAAGGCAGATTTTTAGAGATGCAGAGACAATCTGGTCAAAATATTGAGAACTGCTCGTGAAACGACTAAGAGAGAGAGAGAGGGACTGTAAATAAAAGATTTGAAACAATGCTGGCATGCATCTAAACACGTTGGAGGGAGGGAATTAATTCGTTAGCGCACTCGTCAAAAAACGGCCACGTCAGTCTGACACAACAGAGGCTTTTTCCTTTTTTTCAACAGGCATTCAGAGCAGCTTTGAAGATAAAACATGATCATTGCTCATTTGAGAGATTAAAGGGCGGCTCTGTGAGCGTGATGTGTCGTTTCAAAGCAGAAGAGCGAACAGACACCTCTTAAAAAAAAGCGTGCAGGAGGGAGGAATGTCACCACTCCATAGCAGATAGCAATCAAGCCACGTTTCTCCTCGTTTGACCCTACTTGGTTCTGAAGCTCACACGCAAAGCCAGAAAATCTTTAAAGTGACATCGTCGATATATACGCACACGCACTCACTCAGAAACGGACATTTACAGCCATTTTAGTGTTTGCTTTTTTTCACCTGAAAGAAAGACTAATTGGTGGAAACAGATCGCATTTGGTTTGAATCGTCGTGCACTACTAGTGGAAAATCCAGCCTTGGCTATGCACTGACAACAAATCAAAGGTTAACTAATAATTTTAGGAAGCATTCTGACCGATCTGCCTAATTCAAATCCAGCACCAAGATGCCATATTAAAAAAAAAAAAACATCAAATATAAAATGAGAATAAGTATGGATCAAGCAGCATGTCAGTGAGGTATAGCGGCCTCCTCCAGCTCCACAATCCCTGCACTCTCTCTGATATGTTCAAATCTCTC